CACGCCTGTGCGCGCACACGCGGCTGCCAGCCTCGCCCTGTGCCTCCTGCAAGGGGGGCAGCGGGACCCCCCACCCCTCCTGCCCCTCGCAGAGGTGCTGCCAGCCTGGCTCTCCCCTGCACACCCGCAGGAACCCCCCCATTTTGCTGGCAGGCACCCCCGAGCACAGGCAGGCTCCTGGGGCTCTGGTTTTCCCTCAGCCCGTCTCTCTGCTCCCCCGGTGCCTGTTGGTGGGCACAGAGGGACCACCTGAGCTGGTGGCAGGGACCACACCAGAAAGCTCTGCTCTGCAAGGGCTGGAGCTGGCACCCCCGAGCACAGGCAGGCTCCTGGGGCTCTGGTTTTCCCTCAGCCCGTCTCTCTGCTCCCCCGGTGCCTGTTGGTGGGCACAGAGGGACCACCTGAGCTGGTGGCAGGGACCACACCAGAAAGCTCTGCTCTGCAAGGGCTGGAGCTGCTCTGATGCCACCATCCTTCTGAGTTCTGTCCCTGCACAAAGCCCCCGGGATCATGCAGGAGCAAAAGTTACCTGGTGATGTCTGCTCCTGACACTGCTCTCAGGAGGAAAAGAGGGGTACAAGGGATCCAAGGACTTATGAAACTGTATCTGAATGCATATATATGGAAACCCTCCTTTCTGGGAGCTTTTCTGCACTGTTTTGGGTTTTTTTGGAGGAAACCCTGGCTATTACCTAGATAATGTCCCAGGACATTCAAAAAGGAGTGAGTTGAAGCTCAGAAATGACAAAGAAAGGGACGGGGTCCAGTTTCTAGGAACCCAGAGGAGATTCAGGTCATCTGCTCCATCATGCCTTTGCATTTGCAGCCTCTTGGTTCTGAAGACCAAACAGAAGGGAATTAATTCTTCTTCCTGTGTTCAGGGCCAGTGTTCAGGGTTGTGGACAAGATAATCATTCACAGCTTCAGAGTGAGCAAACGATTTTGGTATTTCCTCCTAGAATACTATATGAAAGACCCAAAAAAATGCTAAGAAGAAAAAAACAGCTGGCTGTGCTGCAGGCAGTTCCCATCTTTTCCCTGGATGCTTAGCCAGGCTCAAAGGCAGCAAACTGGGGGTCTGCTGTCCCCTCTGTCAGCCTGAAGTCCCACAGGGGTGGTAATTCACTCCCCTTCTTGGACCTGGCCCCACATCTCCATTCTGCAGGAGGGACTGCAGGGTGTTTGGTGTGTCCTTCAGCCCTGGAATCTGCTCTGCTGCTCCCCCCGCCTCCATTCCGCATGTCTGCAGCTGGATTCCCCATGCGGCTGCTTGGCTGGGCTGCAAACCTTTAATTGATTCCTCTCGGCTGGCTCAGCCTGTCAGCAGCTCTGGGGTTTGGTTGGCACATCCCTGGGTCCTCTGCCCACCCAGACCAGGAGGCAGCCTGAAGGGAGAGGGACACAGGGACCCTGAGGGTGGACTCTGCCACCCCAAAACCCTCCCACCCAGCGGCTGGGCAGGCTCAGCTCCTGGAGAAAGCATCTTGGCTCCCTGTCCAGCTGCTGTGTCCCTCCTTCTCACTGCTCTTGGCCCCTTTCCCTCACTGCATCACAATGAGTCATCTTTGCTGAGCTCACCCGCTGGAGCTGCAGGGGGGCTGGCAGGCTGGGCACCCACCCTTGCCAAGGGAGGGTCCCTCACCTGGCAGCACATCCCATCAGCTGCAGCCCTCTGGACATGATGAGCAGGTAGAGGGGCACATCCTGATTTCTCCTGCCTGTCCCTTGACTGGGCACTCAGCCTGGGCACGGGGCAGGAGGGGAAGGCAGCACATGCAGGCCTTACTGCAGGCAGCTGCAGGTCTGTGCCAGGCTCATTTCATGTCTGCTGGGGGGGATCCAGACAGGGAAAAGGGATCCATGGGTGGCATTGCCTGGGGATACAGAAAGGTGACAGTGGCTGGACACACAGTGCCTGATTCCCTGGCTCATTGCATGGCCAGCTGGTTCCTGTGCAGTGGATCAGACATCATGATGAGGAGCAGGCAGAGGAGAAGAGGCAGCCTGCCCACCTGTGTGCCCGTGTCTGCACCACCACAGCTGAGTGCCAGGGCACTGCTCTGACTGACCACCTCTCTTTCTCCCTGCCCAGGCTCCCCTCCCAGTGACAGTCACATCTGGACACCTCAGCAGAGAGATGAACCCCACTGTGGGCATCGCTGTCATCCTGACAGGTACAGCCAGCAGATGCACATCCCCTCCCTCCTCTCCCAGCCCCAGAGCAGCCAGACATGGACCAGGAGGCTGCATGGACCTCCTCAGTGCTCCCTGTTCCCTGTCCAACCCCTGCTTGCCTCTCCCAGTCCTCCAGGCTGCCCACTGCCAGATGATCAAGGACCTGAGTGCCTGCTTGCTGGGCCAGAGCCTGCGGGTGGACTGCCGGTACGACAACAAAACCAGCAACCCCCTGACCTACGAGTTCAGCATCACCAAGGACAACAGGAAGCACGTCATCTACAGCACCATCAGCGTCTCCGAGAACGCCTACCGGCACCGAGCCAACAGCACCATGCACAAGAACCTGGTGTGCCTCTACCTGCAGGGCTTCACCACCAGCGACGAGGGTGTCTACACCTGTGAGCTGAAGGCCACCAACGACTACACCGGCAACCAGATAAAGAACATCACCGTCATCAAAGGTGAGATGGGGGGTGGTGCTTGGTCTCAATCCTTCCTTCCCTTTGGAAGGGGCAGCAGAGGAAAACACAACCCCTTGGTGGTGTCCCCAAGCCCTTCTTGAGGTTTCCCAACCCCTACCTGCCCTTCCTACTGCAAGCAGAGCAGTCAGCCCCACAGGTGCCCTCATTCTGCCCCATCACCCCTGCCCCTCTTGGTCCCCACTTTGGGTGCGTTTCCCAGGTGTCCCCCCATAGATGATGCTTCATAGTCAGTCCCAGCAGAGGGGACACGTCTGTTGGTGAAGCACTGAAGAGGTATGTGGTCCAGAATGGAAGCACAGGGGGGATTTTCCACACTTGGGTCCTACAGGAGCAGCCCTCCAGTGGCAGAGCCCATTGCCTTACCTGGTGTCACCTTAGTGAGGCATGTGCAGGGTTCTGCTTCCCAGGATCCCTGTGCCCACAAAGCTTTGCCACAACACGGGGACAAGGTGGGAGGGGAAAGAGGCAAGGGGCCAGGATGGGTTTTGCTGCACTTCTGGGGCAGAGAAAAGGCAAGAAGCTGAGTCCCTGTACCCTTGCTAACACCTGACCCCTCCTCCCGAGGGATTTCATTGCTGCTCTTCCCTCCCTCCCCATTCCCTGTCCCCACAGACAAACTGGAGAAATGCGCCGGCTTCAGCCTCTTGATCCAGAACACCTCGTGGCTCCTGCTGCTCCTCCTCTCCCTG